AGAAATAGAAATGAATGAAGAAATATTTGAAGAAAAATCTGATTTAGTAGAAACATCCAGTGATGACGAATAAAAATAAGAATAAAACTAGTTTCTAAAAACTATTATAAAATTTGAGGACATGATTTGCAATAAAAAACCATTTCATTAAGGGTAAAATTGATTTTTTTTACAAAAAAAACTCAAATGGGTCATTTGACCCGGCTAAATTGAAAATTCTCCCGGCAATATACATACACAACCTCTCTTGGTTTTCTCTCTACAAGATCTACACTAAAGTAATTTAAGCAAGCAACATTAAGTGCCAACATGGGTTTTGAAGATTTGAAAAATAATTTTGAAGATGGGTTGAGGGCTGAAAGTGCAGGTGGAGAAGATGATTGTTGGAGGATGGTAGTGTAGAAATGGAGAAGAAGGGGTGGGGTAGCGTTTCTTTTCTTTTCTTTCTTTCTTTTTTAGTTTTATTATTTTGATTGTCAATATTTGAAAATATGAAAAGTTATTATTTTACAATTTTCAATTTAGTTAAAATTGGTCAAAGTTCACTTTTCTTGGTCAACTAATAATTAAATGGATAGTTTCCATCCAGTTGGACTCCAAGTACATATTTATGAAAGTTATGACAAAGTCTGCAAAAATTGCAAAGATTAAGGATCGTTGCTACAATTTTTCCGAAAAATAAAGAGTTTAGAAATGTAAAAAGTTATTCATTATGTCTGGCCGTCTTGTACTTTCCTTGCGCTCATCTTCCAAATCAACTCCCATCGATAATTATTCATTGATGTTTGGTTAAGTTTAAAAATTTAATTTTTTTTTATGTTGTTAAAACGCCATCATGTTGAGAAATCCCGTCAACCTCTCTAGGAAAATGAATAATGAGCCTGTTTGGTAACAATTCTCCTTTTCTACAGTAAATCACTTCTCATTTTCAACCACACATTCTTCAATAAAATAATATTTTCCATCACATCAATACTTTTTTCTTCTTTTTCAACCACACATTTCCCATCATATCACTATTCAAAAATCAATTTTTCTCCNTTAAAATTGGTCAAAGTTCATTTTTCTTGGTCAACTAAAGATTAAATGGATGGTTTCCATCCAGTTGGACTCCAGGTGCATATTTTATAAAAGGTTGAGGACTTTTGTTGGCATAAATTGAAGGTTATGACAAAATCTGTAAAATTGTAAATGTTAGGGACCGCTGCTACAATTTTTCCAAAAAATAAAGAGTTTAAAAATATAAAAAGTCAATGAAATTTGGCCGTCTTGTACTTTCCTTGTGCTCATCTTCCAAATCAACTCCCATCGATAATTATTCATTGATGTTTGGTTAAGTTTAAAAATTTAAATTTTTTTATGTTATTAAAACGCCATCATGTTGAGAAATCCCGTCAACCTCTCTAGGAAAATGAATAATGTTAAAGTAACAATAGGGCCATAGTTAATTATTCAACGAACCAAAAGAATAAGTTATTTATAAGTAATTATTTAGTTGATCATAAATTCCCAATCCATTGTTCAGTACGTTAATATTTATCTTAAATTTATTTGACAATTGAAGATGTATTTCTTTCATAACCTAAATTAGTGTTCAATAACATTATTCTGCAAATATTTTAAGTTCAATTTAGTTTTTTACTAACTGTAACAATCCTACTTGCCCGAGTTCTTACATTTACAATAATATTATGTATCTAGCCGACTACTGCAATTAATTTTGTACCATTATGGAAGAAAAAAAATTAGTATTTATCATAATTAAAATTACAATAACATTTACCTTTTAAGTAAGTAATTTATTAAGGTAAATACAAGAAAAAAAATAACTTACCTAAAATATGTTTAAAATTATTGAACATTTGACCTGTTTGACTTGTTTCGCCGTCATTTTTTACGCCACCAATCTCTCTCCGTCTCTCTGCCCAAAACCGTGTAATGTTCTTTCCTTTTATGTTTCTCAGCACTTTCTTCTTTTAGAAAAGCTGTTATGAGTAGAAATCGTGTCTATTTAATCCAAACACGTTTCATCTTCCTATTTGAACCACCGAATTTACTGCCAAGAACTATTCTCAGCTTCTCACCGTAGAAAAACTCTCTCGTCCTTCTCCCTCCCAAAAATTAAGTACTTTTTCTATCTCTTCCCCGTATATAAATCAAACCAGCACACAAACTTCATTCATCGAACTTACTGTAATAATTAAACAACTATGGAGTTTTCAAATCGACACTCTTTATTCTCTGTCCTTTTTTTTGTATCTACTATTCTGGTTCAACACTTCGCTGCCGTGAATTCTATCGGAGTTAATTACGGCACCCTCGGAAACAACCTCCCGCCTCCGGCTCAAGTTGCACAGTTCCTCAAGGATAAAACCACCATCGACAGAGTCAAGCTCTTCGACGTGAACCCAGATATTCTCCGGGCATTTGCGGGCACAGGAATCTTTGTCGCCGTCACTGTTCCCAACGGAGAAATCCCTAACCTCGTCAACATGAAGAATGCTCGCAGGTGGGTGGGTGACAACATTAAACCATTCTACCCACAAACTAAAATCAACTACATTCTTGTCGGAAATGAAGTACTCCATTGGGGACCTCAAAATCTGATTGATAATCTAGTTGGCGCCATGAAAGCTCTTCACAATGCACTCATCCGGTCTGGGATTCAAGGTGTTAATGTTACAACGGCTCATGCTCTGAGTATTCTTGAATCTTCCGACCCCCCGAGTTTGGCCAAGTTTCGACCGGGTTGGGACAAGGGAGATCTAGCTCCCATCCTGCAATTTTTACGGCAAACAAAATCTCCGTTCATGGTGAATCCATATCCATATTTCGGATACAGCCCAGAAAAAGCAGATTTTGCACTCTTCAAACCAAACCCAGGCGTAACCGATAAATATACAAAAAAATTATACACGAACATGTTCGATCAGTTAATCGATTCAGTCTACACTTCTATGAAGAAATTGGGCTATGGCGATGTGGAGATTGCCGTAGGGGAGACTGGTTGGGCTTCTGCAGGGGAGACTTTTGAGCCAAAATGTACTATTCCAAATGCAGCTTCTTACAATGGGGGTTTGGTGAAGAAATATAATCAAGGAACTGGGACGCCATTGTTGCCGGGAAGGAAGTTCGAAACCTATATTTTCGCACTTTTTAATGAGAATTTGAAGCCTGGTTCTTTCGCTGAAAGGAATTTCGGTTTGTTCCAGCCAGATTTTACACCTGTTTATGATGTTGGAATCATGCGAGGTACCGCAGGCGTGCCTGATCAGGTAACTTCAAACATCATTAAAACTTTACAAATCTATAATTTTATCATATCAGTTATAAGTTTTTGCCCTTTTTTTTCTTTTTTGATGATAGCCATATAAATAGGTTTAAGTTATAGTATTAAAAGAAGAAGAAGAAATATTCAAAATGTCATGCTACATGTACAACATTGATTGACAACATTCTATGTGGCATCATCATATCCATCCATTATGAAAAACTGTTTTTTACATCACATGTAGGATTTTGACAATACATGGTTGTGAACCATTTTTGTCAACCAATGTTGTACACTTAGATTTATTCATCAAAATGTTGTTCGATGTACTCTATCTATTATTGGGCATCCAACCTGTATAATTTTGTTCATTGATTACCATAATTTTCTCGACAAGCAGTATAAATATTGTATGTAGTTATCGCCCTTATTTCAGAATTTTTTCCTTTTTATTTTCTTTATTTTTTTTATAATGTAAATTTATAAGTAATGTTATTCATAGCAACGTTTGTTTTAGTTCTCCTATATGACATCTTGTTATTTGAAATATTAATTCCATATAATTATGTTGCCTAAAATAATAAGATAATGTATCAAATAATAAGATGTTACATAGAATGATTAGTACTGTCGCTAACTATGAATAGCATTCCTCAAATTTTATTTGTTTGCATATAAAATCTGTGCATTGTAAATTGAAATGAAATCGGGTGGTTACGAATAACTTCGAGGTTCCATGTGAATATTAAATTTTATTTTATTTTTTCTTTCTTTTCTTTTTATTTTTCAAAAGTCTAAGTTGAGTCGAGTTGAATGTGCAATTAAATAATTTTGACGTCAATTGTGTGAATATTTTTGTTATTACATTTTAACGTAATTAAATTTTGATGATGCAGCACATCCCAACACCCACTCCATCAGTTCCAACACCTTTGTTGCCCGTTCCAAAGCCACCAACACAGGGCAACAAAAAATGGTGCGTGCCGAAGGCTGAGGCCACCGATGCACAACTGCAATCTAATATCGACTATGTATGCAGCCAAGGTGGTATGGATTGCAGGCCAGTTCAAGCCAATGGTGCTTGTTTCAACCCTAACACAGTACGGGCTCACGCATCTTATGTCATGAATTCTTGGTACCAAAGCAAGGGTCGAAATGATTTCGATTGTGATTTTTCGGGCACCGGTGCCATCACCTCTTCTGACCCAAGTAAGTAGAAAATTTAAAATTTATGAATTAATGTGTCAAGTACGTAGTATATTTTTTAAAAGAAAAAATTATATGAACATTGCTACTTATAATTAAAATTACTCTTTTTAACTTTAAAGTGTCGAGTAGTAGTATTTTTCAAAAGACGAATAATAATTGAACCTGGAATGCTAGATTTTGTGAATGACAATAGATTGCGTGTTAAAAATTTGTACTCGATTTACTAAATACCAAACACGTTCTAAATCTACTCAATACGAAATTTACTATCAGATCTTATTCGATGCAATTAATTGTTTCTAATTTTACTTTTTTTTTTTGTCTTTCTCAGGTAATGGGTCGTGCTCATTCCTCTCCTGAATGGGCAATGAGCAAAAGATAGTATACTTAGTTTCATTCAAGAATGTATTGTAATGATTAGTTATTTATCAAAATGGGGCAGATATTATCCAGTATAGCACATTACTAAATTTTTTGGCGTGTATTTACTTTTTAATAGATCGATAGAAGTATTGTTCCGATAGAGCTCTATCAGGAGCAAAAGAATGTTTTCTTTTATTCTTTATTGAACTTCCTTCTTGAGATTTTTCATTGAATTTAATTATGATGATATCTAGCACCCTGTGTTGTGTTATAGCACCAATTTAAATGACATTATGCGATAAATTCAATTAAGCCCATGTTTGAGCCACATTATTTTTTTCATTTTCATTCTTTTACTCATTTTCAACCACATATTTTTCAATAAAATTATATCTTCCATTACATCAATAACTTTTCATTTTTCTTCAACCACACATTCCCCATCACATCAATAAAAAAAATGCATTCTTGGAATAAAAATGTGCACTAAACAGGGGCTAAAGATAGAATTATGTGACTCATTTAATTGCTTGTCTCATTTATTGCTACCTAGGGCGATGTTTTAACATTATTGGTGTTCAATAATATTACTTTTGATTCACCATGAATGTTTAACTTCTAGGAATTGAAGAAAACTTCTATAAGGTATGACATCTGTTGAGTCTCGAACCTTTTGACCTGCCTGATGAAATGTGCTTCCACCAATTCTATTACTAAAGTGGTGTTTCTAGAATGACACTTTTATTATTTAGTGACAATGGCTGGATTGTTGACACTTGGCACTCCACTTACCATTGGATGAGATTCTAGAGTCTTCGACTTTTTATCTTCGATGATACGCCTCTTTAGATCACTATTGGCTCTCTTTCTTCTCTGGCTCTTGGTTTTTCTCTCACGTCTGTTAGAGAGAATAATCTCATTATTCTAGGTTTTACATTCTTGAGTAATTTGATCGTATAAACTGTCTATTCTCTTAGATCTACTTATGTTTGGTGTGAGTGAGGATTCTTTGAGTGTTTGGAGTGCTGAATCTTTTGTGATTCGAGAAGTGAATGAGATGTTAGGCAGAACTTTGCGATCTAGCCTATTTTATGCTTGAGGGAAGATCGATCTAAATGCTTGTGTAAAGATAAGTGTCTGTAGC